AACAACAACAACAACTACTACTACAACTATTACAACTACTTCTTCTGCCAACAACAATAATCACCATTGTAATAATAAAACGACGACTACTACTTTTGCTACTACCGCTACTTCGCTTGCAACTTGAAATTGTCTTAGTAATAGTAGGACAGTTGTAGTAGTAGTATTGTTATTATTATTATTATTATTATTGATTATTATTATTGTTTTTGTTGTTGTTGTTGGTAATTTAACTAACTCTATTTTTCGATACAAATTCAACACGTTTCTTGCGAATAATTAGAATTAGTAACATTTTTCTTCGAACGAATGAACGAATGAATGAATAAAAGATTGATGGATGAATGAATGAATGAATGAATGAATAAATGAATGGATAGATTGATGGACAAATGTATAAAGGAATGAATACATTTATAAAATACGTATAAATGCATGATTACTTAACTGACTGACTGAATGAATGAATGAATGAATGAATGAATGAATGAATGAATGAATGAACGAACGAACTAACGAACGAACTAACGAACTAACGAACGAACGAACGAACAAATGAATGGATATATTAAAAATGAATAGATGCATAGAGGGAATGAATAAATGATCGATTGAATGAAGAGAAAATTCAAATAGAAAAAATTAAATAAATCACATACATACCTTCATTAAACCATCTCCATTATAATTATAACAACAACAATAATAATAATAATTATTATTATTTTTTTATTATGATTAAGTCTTTGGAGCAAGCTAGTAAATAGCACAAGCCAACTTGCTTGGTGTAAAACTTTTCGGGTGCGCGTATAGCGATACGTACATACATACACTTTTCACGCATCAATGAACATGCACGCACGCACACACACACACGTAAAATTAGACGAAGTTTTGTATGTCAGTATGCCTATGTGTGTGTGTGTGTGTGTGTTTGTTTGTGTGTGTGTATAACTAAGCTTATATGTATGTGTGTACACGTTTGTCTGTCTGTATGTGTACACAAACTTTGCTTGCACGTCACTAGCTTACCTTACCTACAAACCAACAATTGAGTGACGACAGGATGAGCCTATGCCAAATTTAAGCTACCCTCTTGTTGTATTGATAAAGTTGCAGTTATTATTATTATTATTATTTTTTTTTCATTGAAAATATGCAAAAAAGCTTCTAGTCGTGACTTATTGTTAAGTATTCGTGCTAGTGTGCCTGTATGTATGTATGTATGTATGTATGTATGTATGTATGTATGTATGTATGTATGTATGTATGTATGTATGTATGTATGTATGTATGTATGTATGTATGTATGTATGTATGTATGTATGTATGTATGTATGTATGTATGTATGTATGTATGTATGTATGTATGTATGTATGTATGTATGTATGTATGTAAGTGTATATGTACGTACACTTATGTACGTACGTATGTATGTATGTACGTATGTATGTATGTAAGTGTATATGTACGTACACTTGGTAATAGAGATTTGCTTATCATTTAAATAGATCGATTAAGATTGAAGTTTCACTTGATTTCGCGAAAGGAATTCGGCCGGAGGAAATTCGTTTTTGAGATAAATCGTGGTCGTTTTTGGCAGGTTTTTATTTTTAAAAATTTAATTTGTTTATAAATTTATTTTGTCTATTTATTTATATTTTTATTGCTGTTGAGTTTGTTTTGATTATTAATTAATTAATTAATTTAATTAATCACATAACTTGTCAAGTTTTCAATCAAAGAAAAAGTCGTTATTGGAAGAAGTCCTTTGAAAAATAACGCCGAGATGATGGCATCTGTGAAGGTCCTCTTATGTGTCGGCTGTTTGTTGGTTGCACACGTCACATCTAACAGTTAGTGAAAATTATTTTGGTTTTTAACTTTTTAGCTGACAATTTGGCTAATTTTTACACTAACATTTTTTTATGTTTATGTTTATTTGGGGATTTTAGTTTTTTTTTTGTACAAGATTTCTCCATAATAAACGATATCTAGCTTAAGTGTTATAAATGAATAAATACATGAAAAGCCTAAGACATTACACATTACACAAAAAACATATTTAGTTTAAAATAATTAAAGTGTTTTACATTTAAAACATTCCTAAAATCGTCAAAAAATTCAAATATAAAATGACCAAAACATCAAAAAGATGCGGCATTAGACTGCCCAGCCTGGGAGCAAAAAAGTCACTACAATTCAGACCACGGCGAAAACCTGCCAAACATTCGCACGCTGGATGAATGTAAGAGGGCCTGCCTCTCTCACCCTAACCATTGCCAGTTCGGCTTTGATTGGGAGACAAACCCACCCACCCTAGATCAATTTTGTTGGATTTCAACAAACATTTACGTTAAGAAATCCGCAGGAGTCGTCCATTTTAGTTGTCTGAGTAGGTTGCCGCAGTTTGGCTTTTGTTTCTGAAAAATTTTTGGTCTTAATTCCAAAAAATGTTTCTACTAAATCAAACTGACTGAGTTACTAATCCGAATACTAAAAGTCAACCGATAAATATTACTACCAAATTACAAATACTAAGCTACTAATCCAAATACTAAAACTCAATTAATTTTTTTCGTTTTAACACCTCAAAATACTGTTCGCCCCAATCTAATACTGCTGAGTTACTAATCAAAACACTATCGAATATGTATTGGCAAATTTATTTTAATGTTATTTCAAATTTATTTTGGCTTACCGTTTCATAAATAATTTTTTATAAGTCTTAAGATAATGTTTTGCTTCTGGCAATTACTAATTAGATAGTGATTAGATAGCCGATATTACTTCTAAATTCCACATTGCGATTTGAGACTCAATGTTTAACTTCTAAATAACGAAACGATACTAGATACTATATAACGAAACGACGAAACTAGATACTATATAACGAAACGACTATACAAGTTACTATATAACAAAACGATACTAAATACTAAATAGCGAAACGATACTAGATATTATATAACGAAACGACGATACAAGATACTAAATAACGAAACGACGATACTAGATACTAAATAACGAAACGATACTAGATACTATATAACGAAACGATGCTAGATACTATATAACGAAACGATACTAGATACTATATAACGAAACGATACTAGATTACTATATAACGATACTTATACTCGATGTTTCACGTTCGCCACTAAAATCCAATAATCAGAAATTAAGGAAAATTATTGAGGTACAAATGGTATTATATAAAAAATATTAATATAAAAACAATAATATAACAATATAATTAAACTATCAATATTTATAATTTAATAATAATTTATACAATAATTTAAATAATAATTTTAACAGCGTTCAAACCAACCCCAGCTGTTACGTCAACAACAAACACTGCAACTGTCGGTACTATGCCGCCTAGTGCAACTACAAGAGCCCGTATGTTTGAGTTATTCATAATTATTCGTAATTATTTATAATTATTCATAATTTTAAAAGTTTATATTTATTTATGATTATATTTGTAGTGAATTTTTTTTACGTTTTGTTAAATCGTTTTCGTATTACCTTCAACATCTTTATTATTATTATTTTAACCATCCAATCATCTGTTCCTTCTTTTTCGTCATCCGTTTTCGCTTCTTCTTCTTCTTCTTCTTCTTCTTCTTCTTCTTTTTCTTCTTCTTCTTCTTCTTCATCTCTCCATCATCACCTGTTTCCTCTTCCTCATCATCTCTTCATCATCTCAATAAACACACACCCGCGTTTAGCTTGCTCAAGTTTCAGTATGGCCCTATCGAACAACAGTAACATTCCAGGAAGTGTGAGACAGGGCGGTTTCACTTCACTCAATGACTGCCTGAACGCCTGCCAAAAAACCGCCTGGTGTACTGGCATTGACTGGAACACTTTGGTGACAGCTGACCAGCAGTGTTGGTTCAGTTATACGTCCAGTAGTAACATTAATTTGAATGGTTATATCGGGGTTTACCACTACCATCTGACTTGCACGGGTTAGTGTTGCTGTGTTTTGTATGTGTGTGTATGTATGTATGTATGTGTGTCTGTAATGTTGTGTGTGTCTGTAATGTTGCGTGTGTCTGTAATGTTGCGTGTGTGTGCTTCAATTTGAATGGCTATCTCGATCATCGCCACTGGCATTTCGCTTGCATATGTATGCGTGTCTTGTTTTCGTGTGTGTGTGTGTGCGTGTGTGTGTGTGAGTGAGTAACTGAATGAATAAATGGATGGATGAATGAATGAATGGATGAACGAATGGATGAATGAGGCGAAAATGATGATAGCGAAGGATGGATGGATGATTGTGAAATAAATTTTTGTTGCAAAAAATGAATAAAAAAAGTTTTAAATAGCTTTTTATAGTTCATAATAAATTTAATTATAACCTAAATCTCTTTTTAATTATCGCTTCCAGTTTATTCTTTAAATTATGGCGCGTTAAAATATTTTAAAATTCTCTTCGAACATCATTTTAATTTTATTAACAGTATCTTTAACCAATTTAAATAACAATAATTATTCAACAACAACAATAATAATAATTTATAATAATAATAATTATTATTATTATTCTTGTTATTACGTTTTAATTAATCTAATATTAAGATAAATATTTTGTTAACCTCAAGCCAAATGAAACCATTCTATACTTAATATTAATTTTAATTACATTTTGACAGCGCGTTATATATATATATATATATATATATATATACTATATTTATATATATATACTATAATTATATACATCTATAATTATTTATATATATATATATATTTTCAATGGTTTCATTGTTCAGTCATTTGTATAAATTTGAAATGAAATAATTCGGCCAAATTCACATCACCATCATCATCATCATAATCGTAATAATCATCATGATCATCACCACCATCATCATCATCACTTCCACCATCATCATCGTCGTCGTCGTCGCCTTCGTTATTAATCATAGTTATCAATGATATCTTCATCATTTTAATTATATTATCTTTAACTTTTTTTCTATACATAATTAACATAAATATGATTAACGTTTTATCGTTAATTTGACCATAGTTGTCCCAGAAACAACATTAATTAACAACAACAACAACAACAAAAACATAGACAACGTTAACAAGAACATAGACAACATAGCCATGGACATGAACAAAGACATAATAACATAAACCATTATCTTTTATTAATTTTTTTCTCCATTAAAAAAAAGCTTCAAATGCTAACACGCCTGCACCTAATCCCGTGACGCAAGGCTCCGGTGAGTGAAAGAACGTAGAACTAATAATTAAAAATGAATGAATAAATGAATGAATGAATAAATGAATGAATGAATGATTGAATAAATGATTGAATGAATGACTTTTAGACGCTTTATGTGTGGTAGTTCAGACTAGGAATTTGAACATTAGTACATAAGATTAACCGACTGATTTCTAAGTTTACATAGCCAGTTATCGTCAAAATAATTATTAAAATTATTATTTTATTATTGCTGTATTATAATTAAATTAATCACATAAACGATGAAAAGATCTTTTTAATTTCAATTAAGTCGCCATGGCGATCTAGTTTATGTTAACATTTTCCAAAGCCACTAACATTTTGCTATATTTTTTCGCTAGATAATAATAATAACACTAACCAATTATAATAACAATAATTATAATAACTGTACTGCCACTATTACTACTGCTACTACTACTACTACTGCTAATACTACTACAACTACTACTACTACTACTACTACTACTACTACTACTACTACTACCACTACTACTACTACTATACTACTCTACTACTACTACTACTGCTACTACTACTACTGCTACTACTACTACTGCTTCTACTACTACAATAATTAATAATGAAAATAATAATTAAATTTGTAATAACAACTTCAAATAATTTTGTTTGCAGACAACATGTTACCATCAGGTATAATATTTTTTATCTTTATTTTAACCATCTAATTCTATAAATACTCTGAAATTAAACTTAAATCCACCTTTAATTTAAATTAATTAATTTTGTCCTTCTGACTATGTTAATCCGCTGATGTTTAATTTAAATCTGACCTAGTTGTCGTGAACTCCTTTGTTTAACTACCAAGCGTGATTTATTTGGCAATCACTTTTGTTTTAAAGACCAAGTTCTCTCTCTCTCTCTCTCTCTCTCCTCTTTTTTTTCTCTCTCTCCCTCTCTTCTTTCTTTCTTTCTTTCTTTTTTTGTTTATTTCTTTCTTTCTTACATTAATATACCACCAATCTATCTCATTTAATTAATGTGCTCCACTTTTCTCGTCAGCAGCAAATCCTACCTTCACTTTTTTAATAATTATAACTACGTCTTTCTCTTACTCTTCTCTTCATTCTTTCTTTCTTCCACCTTTTCTTACTTCTTCTTCTTTTTTCTCTCTCTCGCTCCCTCCCTCCATCCCTCTCTCTCTCTTAATCTGTCTTTTAAATTCATAAAAAAATCTGTCAAAAATTTCAAGGTTGTCAATGGAAGTTGACGGTAAACACTAACACAGCCAACGGCATTGTCCAGAATTCAGCTAACACTTTGCCGGATTGTCAGGCGGCATGCTACGCTTATTCTAGCAGTAACAAATGTGCGCTTGGGTTCGATTGGAGCCCTTCTAACGGTCCTGGCTCCATGTGCTACATTTCCACCTCGCCAACTCTCAACAGTGGAGCAGTCGGTGTCTCGCACTATTCCATTGATTGTGGAGGTGAGTTCTGCTGCTTTTTTCTGCCAGTTTTCATGTGTTCTCGTTCTCGCTATTAGTTTATGTTGGGTGCTTCTGTCTGCTCGTGGTGGTGGTGCTGCGTTTGTCTGTTTATGTGTGTGTGTGCATTGTGTGTATGTGTGTGTGTGTATGCATTTCATTGTGTGTATGTGTATGTGTGTGTGTGTGTACATACAATTTTATTTATATGCTATTTGTGTTGTGTAATAGTTATATTTGTTCAACAAACTTTCCCACATGATACACAGGCTTCGTTACCCAACCAAATGTTACTCCATCACCTGGTAAACTGTTTGTGGAATGTTCAGCTATGTACCTTCCTAGATTTCAATAATATCAATTTTTATTAGAATTCATGAATATTCATCAACTGTTAAACCTTAAATAACCTTTCGTAACTTTGAACTGGTCGTGATCAGGTCAATGGAACGTGACTGTAAACTCGAACAGTCCCAACGGGATTTTCATGTCACAATATCAGACTTTGGATGCTTGCAAAGCTGCCTGCGTCGCTAATTTAACGGCTTGTAGCTATGGGATTGATTGGAACAACGCCAACAAGCAATGTTTTTTTTCTACTTCGAGCACTCTCAATGTTAATGGCTTTCCTGGAGTTGACCACCACACATATGTCGCTCGTGAGTCTTCTTGAGTTTTCAAGTTATTTTATTAATTTCATTTTGAAAATAATTATTTTTGTCCAGTTACACGTATATAAAAGTCGTTATCATAACCATGTTAGCTAAATTGAATCTGAATTATCGATTTGTATTAAAGTTGCTTTATAATTTCTGTTTCAGCGGCATCTGGTGGTACAGGTGAGACATTCGAAAAATTATTCCAACTTTCATTATATTTACAACAACATTATGCAACTGAAAACATATAAATAAACCGACAGATGAACAAATAAAACAAACGAACAAATAATTTCTAACCCTCAAACAAACGAACAGTTTGCACTTGGTCAACGACAGCAGATACAAACAGCCCTGGTGGTGAGGTAAGGGCAGCTGCAACGACTTTAGATGCGTGTAAGAAAATTTGTACTGATCTTGGTACCTCTGGGTGCCCTTATGGTGTCGATTGGAACCCTAGCGCTTCACCCGGAACCCAATGTTTTCTGTCGAAAACTTCTGTTAAATCCTCTTACATTGGCGTTTCGCATCACGATGTGACCTGCGTCAATACTACGGGTATTGATTGTAAATCTTTTATATATACACACACGCACGCACACACACACACACATACACGCGCGCGCGCAATTTTGAATATTCATATAAACGCACGCACTCGCTTTTAAAGTTTTTACCAATAACTTAGATATTTGTTTCTACTTTTTGTAAAAAAAACTTTTTTTGAACTGAACACAATTTAAGAAATTTTGTTTAGTTTAAGTTGTAGAAAGTCTCATTTTAGAAAATTGGTAAATTAACGAAAATCTATGAATAAAACTACAATGATAACAAGCAGCACATCTACAACCGACTATCTTCTAACCACAAATCCCATAATTCCAACCACAACGAAAAAACCAATCAGTCTACCTACAAATGCAGGATGCATTTGGAGTTTGGTTGCCAACACAAACAGCCCTGGTGGAATGGCACAGCCAGGTGCAACCACGGTTGATGCCTGCCAGGCACAATGCATCGCCAACAAAGAGAACACCTGCAAATACGGAATCGATTTTAACCCTAGCAATCCAACTGGTCTGCAATGTTTCTTCGCCACATCACAAGCGACTTCAACAGCCGCTGGAGTTACTCACTACACCTACCAATGCTCCTCAAGTGGTTAGCTGGATTTTTTTCTTAATTTGGATTGGAATGAAATCTGAATCTGATGTAATTGAAGGTTTAGATCGAAGAGGGCATATTCTTTTTTTATATGGCAAAAAAGTAGATTTTAGTTTATTGGGATGGTGTATGGTCTTTAGAGTAAGGTTTTGTTTGGTTGTCTTGTGTAAGCTATCTTGCTTACCCGAGTACATGTTTATATCCAGTTCTAAATGATAATTCTTTCAATTGGAGTTTTCAACCACTAAATGAATGAATGAGTGAATGAATGAATATGCAAATGAATCAGTGAATGAATGACAGATAAATGAATGAATGATGAATAAATAAATGACATTTTTATTTCCACACAGGTTTGACGACACCCGGTAATTTGACTTTTTCAAATATACAAATAAAACGTTCTATATATATCTACTGGAAATAATACTGCTTTTTGTAGAAGTTATAGCCTAATTAATATTTAAACCTTAATTAATTGGATAATAAGTTAGTTAGTTAGTTGGTAATTAATTAATTAATTAATTTCATACACTTAACAGTCGGTGGCTTAACAAGTAAGCAACTATTGTGTTGGCTGTTTGCATTCGTCTATAAAATCTTTCGACGTCATTTTTATTATTTGCTACTAATTATACTATATTATTCTTATTTTTTTAATTATTATTTGTACTTTTATATTTTTGATAAAGTAAAATTAGTTTACAATTAAATTAAATTAATAAAAAAATGAAATAAATTTTTTATTCTCCAGCTAGTCCAAGTTGGTGTTCAACTGCCGATTATTTTCATTAGTTTTACATTTTATTTCTATAGCCATTCAACAAATTCTTTTAATATGAAATCATTTTCTTACATAAATAAACTATTTATATAACAAATTATTAAAATCAATAAAGTTAAAAGATTTTGGTCGGCGTCTTATCTGCTAGCTCAGTCGGTAGAAGCGCCATGTTTCGCGTCGTTAATACGCAATGACCTGGTTCGAATACTGTCTAATCTTTGACGTAGATGTTACAATATGTACAAGTTATTGCTTGATTTGTAAAATTAAAAAAACTTTCCAGGCGGTTGTTTGTGGAACTCAAAAGCTAACACAAACACTCCTGGCGGTACTTCAAATTCGGCTATGAGTTTAGATGATTGTAAGTCTAGATGCTTGTTAGTCGGAAACAATTGCCAATATGGTTTCGATTGGAACCCTACAAACCCATCTGGTTCACAATGTTATTTCTCCGTTTCTGGCGTAACTGGCTCAGCAAATGGAATAACACATTACGATTACGTCTGCGCAAGTTGTAAGTATTAGTTGCTTAATTAATTAAATTAATTAATTAATTAATTAGTTATCTATTAATTGAATTAATTAATTAATTAGTTATCTAATAAATTATAGTTTAGTGGTGGAGAAATTATAATAAAAATTAATAATTTTTATCGTTTGGCAAAGATAATGTTCTTCCGTTGATTAAATGTGAGTGTTGTATTAATATTACCCATTTGTTTACCATTTATTTCAATTTCTTTACAACAGCTACGACTACAAGTTAGAGTTTTGTGGAGTTTTTAAAAATTTAACGTCACCAATTATTTAAAATATCGATAATAACCTTTCATGAATATGCAACAGACTCGAACCAAAAATTATTCAGCAGTAACTTTTTTCGATACAAAACTCACACAGTAAACAATGGTTGTACATTAAGTTCAAAAATCGGCCAAAATACAATGGGAGGATTGCCACAGAGTTCGGCAACGACTGTAGAACAATGCCAATCTGCCTGTCTATCTATAAAAAACTGCCAGTATGGCTTCGATTGGAACGCTAAAAACCCATCCGGATCTCAATGCTTCGTCTCAACTAGCGCTACTCTTGGAAGCAACGCCGATACAACCCACTACGATTTGGTATGCACCACAACTGGAGGTTTGTATGCACACGTCATACATGCATACACACACACACACACACACACACACACATACATACATACATACATACATACATACATACATACATACATACATACATACACACACACATTATTATACATGAATATATACATACATACATACCTACAATAATACATACCTACACAAACAAACACACATACATACAACTCTGTGCGAAGCGTTTAACATAGATTAAAGCTGAACCCGGATATGATTATTTCTTCCTTTATAGTTCTAATCAATTATGGGTTCATACATACATACATACATACACACACACAGACACACAAATGCATGCATGCATACATACATACATACATGCATATTTGTTTTATATATTCAGGCACGACAGCAATGAATAACAATCTTTTTTTCAAAATTTATTAATAGCTAATTATCTCGATTTAATTGTTAATGATTATTATTAATTATGAAATGATTATTAACTATGAATCTCAATCTAATCACAATAGTGTTCTTCATAATCTATCTCTATGTCTTAAATTTTAGCTTGGTCTGACTCTATGTGTCTTAAACTTAATCCTTCTAAATTTAAATTAATTTGTTTTAATAAATCTAAACACTCTATTAGTATTCCTCCTAATATATTACCTAATTCTAAAACTCTTGATGTTTCTCACAAGTTTCGTAGTCTAGGTTTTATCTTTGATTTTACTATGTCTCTCTCTTCACAGATTAATAGTGTTGCTAGAAGTTCTTACTTTCATCTACGTAGAATAAATAATTTTTAGCCTTTACTTGACAATCCTACTCTTCTCCTTCTTGTTACTTCGTTAGTCTTATCTAGGATTGATAATTGTAACTCGCTCTATGGTCTTTCTGATCCTACACTATATCCAACTGCCTAACCAACCAATCAACCATCCAACAAACCACCAGCCAGTCAATAAAATTATAATTAATATAGTAATAAAAGATAATAATAATTAATAATAATAATATTTTTATAATTATTAATTATTGTTATAATAGAAATCTTAATTAATTATTTTCTTTATTACTTTAATTTGCAAACAGGACAGACCACTGCAATGACTACCAGCTTTTCAGGTGCGATTTGGACGAACGAATGAGTGGAAAATAGATAGTTGGATGGATGGATGGATGGTTGGTTGGTTGGATGAATAAATAGATGAATGGACTAATCACTAATGTGTAAAGGAATGGATGAACGAACAAATGGAAACAAAATTAATTAATTATTGAGTGAATAAATGAGTTGTCTGGAATATTTCTCCAAAGACTTTTTCAAAATAATAAAAACTTGTAAATTAACTTTCCTAGGGTGTACAGTCACTCCAATCGAAAATACAAATTCGCCCGGCGGTGTATCTCAATCTTTTGACACACTGGATGCATGCAAATCTGGCTGTCTGGCTAAACAAGACTCAACCTGTAAGAACGGATTTGATTTCAATCCTAGCGGCAGCTCCGGGAATAAATGTTATTTCTCCACTTCTACTGCAACTAGTACATATACAGGAGTTACTCATTACAATGTCAACTGCGTAACAACTGGTTTGTTTGTTTGCCTGCTTGTTTGTTTGCCTGCTTGTTTGTTTTTTTGCCTGTCTCTCCATACGTCCGTTTGTCTGTTCACTCGTCAGTTTGTGCATTCGTTCGTCCGTTCGCGATTTTTGTTGGTGAAGTTTCTATATTAGAATTGCTTGTGTAAGCAAGATGCACTAAGGCTGGATAGATGGATGAACGTATGGATGGATCAATCAATAAATGAATTAGTTTATAAATGAATTTTGCAAATAGATGAGTCTTGAGATCCGCTCTGAACTTCGTAAGTGACAGAAAAGTAGTCAGAGAAGGAGGCATAGAGTTCCGGAGAAAAAGACCAAAAAAAGCAAATGCAGATTTAGCTAAAAAGTTTTTAACACAAGTTAAGTAGAAGTGAGAACAAGAAGGCGATGGTAAACAGGGGCGTTCAGGTTCAATTAATATATTTGATAAGTACATAGGAACTAATTTAGATTTAGACTTATACATAAATGTGTAAATTTTAAAAATTTTATTTTTATAAGTAGTCAGTGCAATAGAACAAGATATGGAGATATATGAGAAAAGAAAGGGGCACGAGCAACTAGACGAGCAGCAGAATTAATTCAAATTAATTCAAATTTAGAAGGATTATGTTTTAGACACATAGAGTCAAACCAAGAGATAATTGAAAAAAGACACAGAGATAGATTATGAAGAACACGATTGAGATTAGACGGAGAAAAAGAATTATGGAAGTAATAAAAGAGTCAGACCAAGCGATAATTGAAGAGTTAGAACGAGTTACAATTATCAATCCAAGTTAAAGCAAATGAAAACAATTAATTAATTGTTGAATGAATAAATAAGTTGTCTGAAATATTTCTCCAAAAAATTAAAAAAAATTGTAAATTACATTCCTAGGGTGTGGATTCACTCCAATCGAAAATACAAATTCGCCCGGTGGTGTATCTCAATCTTTTGATACACTGGATGCATGCAAATCTGGCTGTTTGGCTAAACAAGACTCAACCTGTAAGAACGGATTTGATTTCAATCCTAGCGGCAGCTCCGGGAATAAATGTTATTTCTCCACTTCTACGGCGACTAGTACATATACTGGAGTTACTCATTACAATATCAACTGCGTAACAACTGGTTTGTTTGTTTGCCTGTTTGTTTGTTTGTTTGCCTTCTCTCTATTTGTCTGTTCACTCGTCAGTTTGTGCGTTCTATATTAGAATTGCTTGTGTAAGCAAGCCACTATGACTGGCTGGATGGCTGGCTGGCTGAATGGCTGGCTGGCTGGCTGGCTGGCTGGATGTATGATGATGGATGCTTTGCTAGATCAACAATCATCGATTGATATAATGGACAACTAATTGTTTAATCAATCAGCCAACTATCCAAACAACCAACCAGTCTGCCAATAAAATTATAACTAATATGCTAATTTAGTAATAATTAATAATAATAATAATTGCTTATTTATGCTTATAATATAAATCGTACTAAATTTTTTTCTTTATTACTTTAATTTGCAAACAGGACAGACCACTGCAATGACTACCAGCTTTTCAGGTGCGATTTGGACGAACGAATGAGTGGAAAATAGATAGTTGGATGGATGGATGGATGGTTGGTTGGTTGGATGAATAAATAGATGAATGGACTAATCACTAATGTGTAAAGGAATGGATGAACGAACAAATGGAAACAAAATTAATTAATTATTGAGTGAATAAATGAGTTGTCTGGAATATTTCTCCAAAGACTTTTTCAAAATAATAAAAACTTGTAAATTAACTTTCCTAGGGTGTACAGTCACTCCAATCGAAAATACAAATTCGCCCGGCGGTGTATCTCAATCTTTTGACACACTGGATGCATGCAAATCTGGCTGTCTGGCTAAACAAGACTCAACCTGTAAGAACGGATTTGATTTCAATCCTAGCGGCAGCTCCGGGAATAAATGTTATTTCTCCACTTCTACTGCAACTAGTACATATACAGGAGTTACTCATTACAAAGTCAACTGCGTAACAACTGGTTTGTTTGTTTGCCTGCTTGTTGGTTTGCCTGCTTGCTTGTTTGTCTGCTTGTTTGTTTTTCTGCTTGTTTGTTTGTTTGCCTGTCTTTTCATTCGTCTGTTCGTCCACTCGTCAGTTTGTGCGTTCGTTCGTCCGTTCGGAATTTTTGTTGATAAAGTTTCTATATTAGAATTACTTGTGTAAACACGTTGCTCTATGATTGAAAAATCATTAAAGACAAACTATTAATTAATTAATTAATTAATTAGTTAATTAATATTCTAATATTTAAATTATGATAAAACCTCTTAAACTATTTATTAAATCTTTTTTAATTGACCTTTCAAATTTGTTCACTCAATTTATTTGATTTTTCTCTCAAGATTTTTTCATGTTTCAGTTATTTCCATATGAGTTTAATCGGTTTCAATTCAATAGCGACTTGTTACAGTATAATATTTCGTTTTTTGTTCATGTTTTGTATTCCTTAAATTGAGTGTAAACCTCAGGTCACGTTAAATTTTTTGTACTGATTGAATGTTTTTTTGACTGAATTGTTAATTAACTGTTAACCAAACCATTCGCCACCGTTGCTACAACCCCAATTTTAGCTACTTGCACTTTCCCCGAGATAGCAAACAGTTTCAGCCCCAGTGGTCAGCAGATGACCAACATAACAACACTTACTGCTTGCAAGGATTATTGTGCTAGTACGTACACCACTTACTGCAAATACGGATTTGATTTCAATCCTTCCACTTCGGGATGCTTCATATCCACGTCTGCTACTGTTAATGTCAATGGTTACCCAGGAGTGACCCATTATAACGTGACTTGCACTGGAGGTTTGTTTGTATTTATATATGCATGTTTGTTTGTTTGTTTGTATGTATGTTTGTATGTTTGTTTGTTTGTTTGTATGTGTGTTTGTATGTTTGTTTGTTTGTTTGTATGCATATTTGTTTGTTTGTATGTATTTCATTTTAGTTGCCATATACAGACCAGGTTCTGTTCTGCTATCCAAGTTATTTTTTAATGAATTAACACTTATTTTGGAAAGTTTAACGGTTTTATGTCCTCGAATTGTACTGGCTGGAAATTTAACATTCACTGGGAAAAAGTTGGTGATCATCATGCCATAGCTTTAAAGTATATTTTTCAAAATTATCATCCAATAATGTAAATGAACCTACTCACGCACTGGGAGGTACGTTGGATTAAGTGGTTACTTCATCAAACTTTCCGATACTTGTCTGCAGGGCTCATCCAAGTGGAATATTCTCAGATCATGGTTTAGTTGAAGCAAGTCTGCCAGGTGTTAGAAATTACACGCGTCGTGTTTATGGGACATTCAAATCGTAGAAAAAAATTAAGGATGATGATTTTGTTAAAATTGTTCTCAAATCTCCTATTTGTATGTATGTATGTATGTGTGTATGTGTGTGTGTGTGTGGTGTATGTATGCGTGTGTGCGTACGTATGTATATCTCTGTTTTTGAACTTGATTATTTCTGTCGAAAGTCTGAAAGCGAATTATAATTTTTTGAATCCAGGCTCCACAACAATAATGACAACAACCCAGCCAGGTATCCAATTTTTTCATCTTAAAATTTGAAATGTTACGTACCAACAACCTAAAAATTATTTTTTACTTTTAAAGTAACAGGGCCTATCGCAGTTTGGCAAGAAGCCAACAATACGAACACAGCGGGAGGAGTCGAACAAACTTCAGCGACCTCGCTGGACATGTGCAAATCGCAGTGCTTCGCCGCCAAAGACACAACTTGTAAAAACGGGTTTGATTGGGATTACAGCAAGAGTAAATGCTTCTTCTCAACTACTTCGGTTACTTCGGCTTCAAATGGCGTCAGTCATTTCACTTACTCCTCAAGTGTTGGTGAGCACTTTGTTGTTTTGTTGCTCTATTCTTTCTCCTTGTTTGTTCAGTTCGTTTTGCGGATTGTTTTCAGTTCAATGAAAATTTTGATTTGTCATAAAAATCACGTTTTTATATTATCATATTCGTCTTTAACGATTAACTGTTGCGTCCAGTTAACTTCGAAAACTTCAAGTCCATAAGAGTGAAAATTTTGAAAAAATAATCACAAGAACTTTAGGTACTCTTAATAATAATGAATTGATGAATTATTGAAATAATAAATTGCTGACTTAATGAATCTATAAACTGATGAATCTATGAATTAATAATTAGATGAATTAATGAATTACAGGATGCTCTTGGCAGATAAAAAATGATACCAACACCTTGGGCGGAATTCAGCAAACAGCCACAAGTCTCGATGCATGCAAAGCTTCTTGCGCCGCAACGACAACCTCAAGCTGCCTGTATGGTTTTGATTGGGACGTAGCCAATTCTAAGTGCTTTTTCTCCACCAACTCAGACTTGAAATCTGCTCCTGGAGTCAATCATTACACATGTTGGTCTAGGCATTTGTTTGTGTATTTGAATATCTAGTACAATAGTGCATGTTTGTGTTACCTCTCTCTCTCTCTCTCTCTCTCTCTCTCTATATATATATATATATATATATATATGTGTGTGTGTGTGTGTGTGTGTGTGTGTGTTGTTTTGTATGAGTGGTTTGTGTGTTTTTCCGTGTGTGTGTATGTGTGTGTGTATGTGTGTGTGTGCGTGTGTCCTGTATGTATTTAAGCGTGTCATGTATGTGTTAAACTAATTTTTTTTTATTAATTATTCATTTATTTTTATTTACTTTTAACCCAAAGGTCTGAATGCAACTACAACAGGTGAGAATCTGACAAATCTATGAAAAATAGTTTTTTATTTTTGAAAAATAAAAACGCTTAAAATCACCATTGTTTTTGTTTATTTATTTTACTTATTAATATTTCTAATTTTGTAATATAATTTACTTTTAAATTTCTAATTTTCACAGTGCCAACAACACCAGGCTTGAGTGAGTAGCATATTTTTAATTTTTTTTTATAAGAATTGAAATTTATCTGTTTTTGGTTGTAGAATAAAAATTAATACGAGAGGTGACCTGCAGTCAACTAACTGACCGACCGACTAATTAACCGACTAACTGACCAACCGACTAGCCAACCAACCAACCAACAAACCAACAAACCAACCAACTATCCAATCAACAAACCAACCAACTATCCAACCAACTAACCAACAAACCAACTATCCAATCAACAAACCAACCAACCAACTATCCAATCAACAAACCAACTATCCAACCAACTAACCAACAAACCAACCAACCAACCAACTATCCAATCAACAAACCAACCAACCAACTATCCAATCAACAAACCAACCAACCAACCATTCAACCAACTAACCAACAAACCAACCAACCAACCAAGTAAAATGATTTACTTAACACTTTTATCACATCATTTCATTTCAGACATCTCCACAATTTCAAGTTAGTTTCTTTTGCGTTTCACATGGGTTTAAGCATTATTATTTTCTTTGATATATTTATAAAAGATATAAAAATAAACTTTCCCATTGTATACAAACACACATAGATACTACATACACTACACACACACACACACGTAAACATAAACACACACACAAACACGCGCACACTCGTACGTAGATTGCACCTGGACTCAAAATTCTAACTCAAACACGGCTGGTGGAATAAAAAATTCAGCCAATGACGTTGAAAGTTGCAAGTATAACTGTGTGACAATGCAAACAAATAAATGCCAGTTCGGACTTGATTTTGACACGGCAGCTGCTGATGGATCCAAATGTTTTTTCTCAACAACGAGCACAGTTAATATCGGAGTTGCTGCGGGAGTTAATCATTATAATTGCTGATTAGTTAGCTAGCTGTTAAGTTAGCTAGCTGGCTGATCAATTTGCTTGCTGGTTGACTAGTTGGTTGGCTGGTTAGTTAGGTGGTCAGTTTGTTGGCTCTAAGCTAGCTTAGCTACTTATTTGCATAAAAATATGAAAAATTTATAATAATAACATTATAATATATCTGTTTGTTTGACCTTTTTTTAATTATTTATCATAACTTTTTTTCATTCGGGAAATGAAAAAACATATTTATTTATTTATTTGTTGATCGATCTGTTTATTCATCAGCATTCCAAGCAAGTTTACACGATTAATTATTGATTGATATTAATCTTATTATTTTGTAATTTCTCGTTTGCAAGCACAAGCTGTTTTTAAATCGCTATTTGTTTATCAATTGCATCAAACAATTTGAAAACGACGAAATTGTTCCGCAAGCTATAACAAATTTACATGTTTAATATAGATATGTATTTAACATTTAAATTTATTTTTTTAAATATTAATTTGTGTTTAATATTTAGATTTATTTGTTTGATATTATTTTGTACCCAACGTTTAAATTATAAACTATTCAATTGTTTTAAACTCCTCTACAATTTTAGCATAAAATTCAAGGCTTACAAGCCCAAATTATTTGAGTTATTGCTGTTCTAATTTTTAATATTCGATTTTCGCAAATAATTTTTTTATTAGAATAAATTTAATTGTTATTAAAATAAAATTAATTATTATTATTCATTATGATGAGTTGAGTCCTAACAGAATTAACAATACGCTTTTTGACGTGATTGAGTTTTTAAATTAATATGTTACCCGTTCTGATTGCTGTTAAAAGTGAAGATGATTTTCAACAATCATCATTGATGACAATAAATTAATTTTAACTTGAATAATACGAATCTGTTTTCCATTCTGAACAATAACGAAACAACGAATCTATCAACTAAAAACAGATCATTAGCTATCAACTAAAAACAGACCATTAAAGCTTCAAGTGTTCTCAAAAATCTAGCGAACTCAAATTGAAACCAATTTCAACCTACTTCGAAATAAAATCACTAAGCTGCTAAATCCTTCTGTACCGTACCAAAAATGGATTCAAGCTAGTTTTTATTTAGTAGAGAAAATGATGAAGTTGAGTTAATTTAACAAAGCAATCTGTTTGGCGGTAGTTAGTCGCGCGGTTATCTCAAAGGCTCTCACATTAGAAGAAATTTGATTTCAAATATCAAAAAAAGGTCGACAACATGTAGACTACTACTTTAAAAAATGATACACAATCGTGATAAATTTTACACCTAACATGCTTATTCTCTTCTCTATATAAGCTTTATTAAGAAGCGAGAGTTGAATTGACATCACACATTTATTATAACATATTAGGAAGTATTAGACGAATATTGGTTGTGAGTGATTAATGCTAATATCAGTAGAAGTAGCAGTGTTTTCAAATTTATTGTTCGTTCATAATAAACGAGAATAATAATTTTCATAATTTCTCATAGAGATAAGACAATGAACGAACTTCGGACGGCAATGAATTGCAAACTATGGGAGCTGTCATACATTACCGAAATAACCAGAGACTAGGTGATATACTTTCCTACCTATACTTGCAAGCCAACATGCAATCTTATAAATAACATTATCGCTGATACAACACAATGAACCGTTTTCAGCGCAAATAGAAACTTTAATAGAAACACATCCATACAACAAAATTTTTTATTTATCTGTTTTAACCCGTTTATTTTATGAAAACATACTTTCGTAATATGTTAAAACAAACACTTCCAATTCAATGCCAAGTTCAAGTATTATAGTTCAATTCCTGAATCAAAATTGTTCTGCTTACTCCGCTCGAATGTAACGAGCATAATATCCATGGTAACGCGCTCATATAAAACAAAATACATTTTGCCTACTTGCCTACTTATAAATATAAAACTCTATTTTTATTGTTTTTTCAAAAATTTTGTTTTAATGAATATTTTAATGAAAACGAAAACATTTTGTCAGAGAAAAGGACTTTATTCTTCAATCACAACTGTACATAGTTTCGACAAAATTAAAATGTCCCGCCTCGAACGGCGTAATTAGAACTAAGTAATTAAATAATGAAAAAATTAAATTTTCTAACTGAATAAATAGAATCCATGCTCATTTTTTGTTATAAATCAAAAATTAAATTTCATAATATTAATTTAAAAATTTTCTTTATATACTATTAAACTATGCGTAGGTAAGTTGAACGTTATTAATGCGGCATAGATAGGTAAATTAATATATCATATATTACAAAGTATTTGTCAAATAAAACTGGAAAGAAAATATTTGAAAAAAATATTTGTCCATATTATTTGATTTATCTACTGAACCAGTGAATGTTTTATCCCAGCTTTACGTTTACCGTCAACACTTTATTCCTTATTATATTATTTCATTTAGTTAGATTCACCCACTACTCTTAACTTATTACTTCATTCTAATATACTCACAGCATCTTAATCACTATAACTTAATTCTTTATACTCTATTTCGTCACATCTCAACACATTTCATATACTTACATACTATTTTCTAATCTTACAACATCCCAAATCTACTATCTACTTTAATTCTATCCATATCTCTCTTCTTTCACTCTTCCATTCCATCCAATCCAAACTAATACTTAACAAGGCACAAACAAGTAGTAGGTTCTAAAAGAGACGGTTCCTACATATGGTGGTGCGGCTTCTGAACTGTAGAACCAGCACTTATCAGCTGAATCATCCCTCCACTCGTAAGCCTTACAGCTAGGTTGTACTGTACACTGATTTCTGCATATAGTTTGGTCCGTGTAAGGTTTCAGTATTCCATCACCGAATTTTCCCGCACTGTTGTAGTAGACTCGATAGTTGTTGCAACCCCAACCGACTGCGATGTGGAAATTAATTTTAATTTTGCTATTGTTGAATTTTTTTGGGTCTGCATAATTGTGATAAAAATTTATTTAAATAGGTTAATATTAATTAGATATTAATATTTAAATAGTAGTTAAAATAAACGTTTGTGTTTCATAGCATAGAGTTTATTCAAATAATGTGATATTATTATATGAGAACGTACGTTGTGTGGATGCCGACTGAGTTGACGGCCCGACCTCTGGATCACCTGTCGACAAATTTCAATAAAAATATCATTATATATCATGTGAAGCGAGATGGTTAAGTGGTTAAGACGCCTGGCACTGCTGTTCCAGTGACCGTGTTCAAAAGTAAAAAATCTCCGCCTGTCACATACCATGTGCGTACTCTACTCATTTAGGCGTCGTTCGTTGTTCGTGTTTATTAAAATTTATACAAACAGAATTCAACAAAAGCAAAACTCAGCGTTGTAGTAACTAAATGATGAAAAATTGACTATAAGAACTCTGGGGCTACGTGATGAAAAACTAAGAAATCAATCTTTTCCCCAATTCAGATAACCTGGGCAGGAGTAGTTGTAATGCGTGACTCCTTTGAAGCCATTGATGTTGGTGTAGTTGCTAGTAGAGAACCAACATTTGAAAAAATTGTTCGGATCCCAATCGATTCCTGTGCAGACGGCTTTGCCAGAGGTCCTACAATATTTCTGACAATCTGGAATCGTGGTGTACAATGGTTTAGCCACTCCACCAGGGCTGTTGCTGTTTGCGAAACTGTTCCACGTGCATGCTGAATTGTTGGGATGGAAAAAAACAAAATTTTGGTTCTACGCGGAATATTTTGTGACGTTTTTAAGTTAGGATGGAAAATTTGTCATTGTTTTATTAATTTGCCGTATTTTGATAACATTTCTATTTATTTATTATCGCGAATTTCTGAACGTTTGACGAAAATTCATCGGCAGCATATGATGAAATTTGGAATGGCAGATTGTACTAACGTGACTGGTCGACCGGAGATTGTGTGGGGAGTCCTGCACGGAAATATTAAAAAATTATAAATTGCGATGTGCACATGTATATCCTGTTTTTATACAAACATCTCGATTTATTTAAAATTCACCAAAAAAATAAAATCACCAGACAACAATTTAATTAGAATATCAAAAACCTTGTGTCAATCCGTAGTGATCGACCTGACTATAGCTAGTCAATTTATTGCTAACGGAAATCCAACATTGAGCCCCTATAGCTGCCCGGTTATCCCAATCGAATCCGTAATAACAGGAACTCTCCCTTGTACATTTCACCTTGCAATCGTCGATGGAATAGACGCTGGGCATGAGAACTCCGCCCGGAGAATTGTATCCGTAGGTGACGTTCCAGTAAGGCGTGTTTGAAGCTGGGTTGGATGGGTTGTTACTAAGAAATTATTTTTATAACCGCTTAGCAACATTAGGTGGCGTGATAGCCTAATGGTTAAAGGCGCTGGTCATGTTGTTGCATTAACTGCATTCGATTGCATAAACATCCTCACTTATCATATGCAATGCGTATGATGCATGGTTTTCACGCTTATTCATGTACTCTGTGTGTGTTTGTCGTTGAAACGTTTGAAGCAGGTGCAAAAGTGAGAATGACCTTTAGCCTTTTTTTCAACATCAACAGCACCAAAAGTTAAGCCAACAACATCAAAAAGATCGACAACAAACTAAAACAACACGTACGAACCGGTGCAGTTATATTTGTAGTGGGAGATGAGGTTATTATTGACAATATTTTCAGTGATACTCAGCCAGCACTGTCTTCCAGGTTGCTCATTAGAATTCCAATCAAAACCGTACATGCAGTTGAAATTGCCAATACATGCTTGTTTGCACAAATCAATATTGAGAGCTGTTGATTGCAGGGATCCGCCAGGAGTGTTACTGTTATATGATATCTGCCATGTACACGCTTAAGGACGATTTTTGGGTTTTTTTTTAAAGTTATTGTGAAAACATAAAATTATAATTAATAATTATAATATATAATGATTACAAAATTATCAAAAAAATCAAAAACACATAGTTTTTTGATATATGAGAACAAAAATTCCGATCAAACTAAAAAAAGACTTCAGAGTATAAAATGAACATACTTGGAGCGGCTGATGGCTGTGGAACTGTGAAACAAAAAATTAATTCAAAAATTACTCTTACTACTGCAGCTGCTTTAACTTCTACATCTGCTACTGCTGCTGCTACTACTACTACTACTACTACTACTACTACTACTACTACTACTACTACTACTACTACTACTACTACTACTACTACTACTACTACTACTACTACTACTACTACTACTACTACTATTGCTACTGCTATTACTACTACTACAATTAGCATTAAATACTGTTGCTACATTTTTAAACATAGAATATTTAAGATTTAAAATGATTAAACGATTCATAGATATGGTATATGGAGTCTTTTAAACGTGTTTGTGAATGAACGAACGAACGAACGGGCAAATGAAATGAATTAATTATTAAATTAATATATGAATGAATGAATGAATGAATGAATGAATGAATGAATGAATGAATGAATAAAAGAATGAAAAGACAAATAGAAAATGAACGAGAAATTATTCAAGCCATCTACTTGTAGCGGCAATGGTCGGTGTTACAGCTGATGTGATGAAAATTTTATTGGATTATTCGATAATATTAATATAATTAGTTTTAATACAAATATTTAGAGATTATCATCCACAAATTATCGTTTTACAATAACATTTGCATCTATAATTACCAACATCATCAATTTGATTTTAGTTTGAGTCTCTACCTTATCGTTCTTATTTTCAAAAGTCAACTAATTTTTTCATTATTCAAATTTTTGAAAAAAAATTACATCTTTTTAGCTAAAATTTTTGACTCATCCTCATCTTTATCAATCATTTTTTTCTAAAATAAAATATGATTTAAATTTTCTAATTTGCCAAAAATAAATATTCAAAACTTTTTTGGAAGAAAAGAAACAAAACCCAACTCACAAACTCCCTGCGACTGACAATCCCAAATATAATGATCAATATTTTTGACGTTGGAATATGTAGGAGAATTTTTAGTTTTGAAAAAGAAGCATTGGTTCTTGGAAGTTTCCCATTCCACAGCTAAACAATTCGAAAAACCTTGCTTGATGCATTTGGTTTTGCATTGGTCCAATGATGTTACATCATTTTGAAAAATTCCTCCGTAACTTTGTGACTCCACATAGGGTTTCCACGAACAACCTTAAAGTAAAATATATTTTGGAGGTTGAATGAATTTAATTTAAAAAAATAAAATCTGTTCACAATCGATAATTTGTATTTCTGTAGTTTAAAAAATCGCAAAAATTCTAAAAAAAATCTGTTGAAACATCATTAAAGGGTAGCTACTAACTGCATGTAAGTATGTAGTGAATGATAGCTGGATTGGAAGCCGTAGGCACTGCGTCAATGTTGAAAGTGTAGCAATTGCCAGTGTATTCAATGGCTTTACAACCAGGTGTACTTAAGCAGAGGTTTTGACATTCTTCGGTTGATTGCGCCGAAATTTGAGTTCCGCCAAACATTTGTAAGTTTGGTTTTGGAGACCAGCAATTGGTTTGGCCGTAGCCTACCAAATTAAAAATAATTGGTTAAGTAATTAATTAATGTACTAAAAAATTGATTGGTTAAATGACTCAAGTTTTACTTGAATGGATGTGTTGTGTTTATTGGTTTGTATATATTAAGAATGATGTTAATGTATAAACCATATATGCTGCATTAATGCTTATAATATCGTAATTATATTTATCAGATTATATTTCCTTAATTAGTCAATCAATTATTTAATTAAAAACCTCCATACTTACATGTTAAAAAGTTGTACACGAGGACAAATATAAGAGAAATCTTCATCTCCCGATGTTAAAAAATGGACGAAAGCCGACGATGTAAAAGCCAAATTCAAATCCTAAACCATTAATACCGATTACTAGAAACCAAATTATTACTTAAATTATACCAAATTAATAAGTTGAAATAATTGCCGAAAAATTAATTAATTTAAGACCGCACTATGTATATGTAAATATATGAAAGTAAAATATGCAATTTCTACACGTTTAAGGCTTAAGCCATATAATGTAGTTGCTATTATAACTGATTCTAATGTAAATATGCATGCAAGTATGCTTGTGTCGAAATCACCCATGCATGCATTCAGTTGAGATTCTAGTTAGGCGTTCGTAACTAAACAGGCTAGCTATCTAATAGTGCTACTCAAGCTGTAAAACAATGAACAGAGTCTACGCATTCAAAAGCTTTGTGTAAGATTTCATTTGATATGTGTGTATGTTTGCATGTGTGTGTGCGCGTGTATGTATGTATGTATGTGTTGTGTGTGTGTATATAAGGGGATAGGCCGTTTTTCTGTCTTTGCTTTAACTTTGGTGCTAATTTTAACATCTATGTATGGAGCAAACTTCGTAGAATAATACTTGTATATGTGCGTGTGTGTGGATGGAATGTTTGGATGAATGCTCGCCCGCATATGGCAATATGTAATAACAACTTCCTCTATAAAATAAAAATCGGCGCTAATTAAACGTGTTACTAAGCAGTGAGTGTTTTTTAACGTGACCAGATTCTTACTTCAGTTTTATTGATTTTTTGTTCTTAAATTTCATAAAAATTGACAAACTAATTCCATCCGAAATTAAAAAATTTATTTGATGTATTGTTAGAGTCTAAAAAATACTACATGTATAATATAGATTGAAATTTCGAAATCCCAGTATAGAAAACAATACATACATACCTCACAGCAATGAGAATCGTTGTAGAAATTGATTGAAAATTAAAAAAAAAAGTTTCAGAAATTAAAAAAAATACATTTGTATTCTTTCAAAATGCAACAAAACGTTTTCAAAATATCAGACATTAAACATAGTAAGACCACAACTTAATAATTTGATTTTTATTCGCAAATCTAGGTTATACATTAATTTAGTTAATATTTTCCAAATTAAGTGTATACATTAAATTAGTCCTTATTTCAAAGTCGTCATCACCATTTCATAAATTAGTTAAAGTTTTTTTTTTAAAATTTCAGACACTACTCCCGAACTAGATCTAGTTTTCCTTAATTTTCAAATTTGTTCTAAGGTTGTCATCATTTCAGTAAGTTCCAGCTCTCCCAAAACTTCAAAACGAGATTTTATTTGCAATAATAATGTTTCACGTTTTTAATATTCCCAAAATTTATGAAAGGATTCGTAGAAACCCAGCACTGAAATCCGAATGGGGCATAGAGATTGAAATCAAAGCCATAGGTGCATCTATTATCATTTGCAAGGCATGCGCTTCTACATTCGTCTACATTGTTTGCATTACTAACTCTTATGCCACCGATGGTGTTGCTATTTTCCAGGACGGTGTTGTTTGGGCAAACTGTAAAAATGTGTGTTTATTTTTATGCGTGTGCGTATGTTTGTTTGTATGTGTGTGTGTTTGTTTGTGTGTTTGTTTGTATGTGTGTTTGTTTGTATGTGTGTTTGTTTGTATGTGTGTTGGTTTGTGTGGTTTAGAGATATTATTTGTTATGAAGTGATTGGATGGATGTGTAGATGACTGAGTAAATAAATAAATGGATGAAAAATTGTTTAAAAATTGTTACAAATTGTTTTTCAAGTTACCTGAAATCGTTGGAAAAACTGTCAAAAATTGAAAAAAGAAAAATTTAATAAAAATTATTATGAAACAAATCAAAATCATAACTCAATAAATTGCTTTGAACGAAGACATACCGGTATTTGTAATCGTGACAGCAGGCGTTGCTGAAAACAAAAAATCATTCATTAGCACAACTTGGATGATGTTTCATTTTTCTGTACCGCAACTACATCATAAACGCAACATGAAAACTTTCCTTTCTTAACTGCTTTCTTACTCTAAGGCTGCACTTATAGTTACAAATCGGATTTATGTGTATAAATTTTTGTGTTTTCTTTGTACACGCACATACATACATACATACATACATACATACATACATACATACATACATACATACATACATACATACATACATACATACATACATACATACATACATACATACATACATACATACATACATACATACATACATACATACATACATACATACATACATACATACATACATACATACATACATACATACAAACACATACTCATACTCATATGTATATAATGCCCAGATACGATTGTTAATCATATCAAAGGCCATGGCAGACTGTTAAATTGTTACATTTTAATGTGTATATAGTCCAAGTGTGATGTATTTCTTTAAATAACCTCTTCAACAACCTTAAACATATTGCCAACAGAATATATACAAAACAAGCAACTCCAGACAAATTTACCCAACTGCAACTGCAACTAACAAGTGTGGCAGTTGTATATGTGGTGATTCACGCCAGTTACATTCGTCATGGGAGGAGTTTGGGAAGATGAGAAAAGGTAACACTCTCCACGGGTAGTGAACTCAATGGCCTGACAGTTGCTTGAGTTGATGCAAGCTTGTTTGCATTGGTCTAATGTTGTGGCTGCCATGTAAGACGACCCGCCGTACATCATTGAGTTTTGGTAGAGGGTCCACGTACATGCTGTTGAGTATGAATTTAGGTTTATTTTAGGATTAAGTTAGTAAAGATATAAAAACACTTTTAAAAATTCTTCAAACGAAAATCGTACGACCCGAATTAAAAAAGAATAAACATGAGCAGAAGAATAATAAAGACTGGAAAAAAATATTCCTAACGTGAGTTGCATATGTAATGATCAATTCCAGACAAACCACTCTTTGTCGGTACGCTGTCGCTATTGAAGGTGTAACATTTTGCCTGTAAGTTAGCAGTGACCCATTCTACGGCCTTGCATCCTACCAGGCTGTTCAGGCAGTAACTTTGACAATCTTGAAGTGATGTTATGCTGCTTGGAGCTTCCACTCCACCGAACGTTTGGTAGCCATAGTAAGCGCTCCACTGACAACTTCCACCTGGATTGTGCAGAGATTGTTTAAATACTCAAGTAGGCCAAAAATTTGGCTAACGTAGACTGTTCTATTATAAAGTAAGTAATTTGGTAATTAACCTTAAATGTAAAATCTACTTTTAGGCCTCCATATATATCAAATGGTATTTTTTTTAAATGTATTTTATGTTTTTATTTTAAAAACATTATAAAAATTATAAAAAAAAGATAAGAAAACCTGAGTTGCTTACTCCACTGAAACTCATACCCGCCGTCCAGCCAGTCGTTGCTGAGCCAGCTTCATTGAAATGAATGGAGAGATTAGTTAAGAATTTCATGAAAGATTTAATGAATTATTAGATGAATTTCTAAATGAATCGTCAAATAAATTATAAAAATAATTATAAAATGAATTATGAATATTAGATAAATTTTCAAATGAATCATCAAATGAATTATAAAATAAATTACAAAACGTATCATAAAATGAAGCGTGAGATGATACAATATCAGACCAGAACATCCGATCAGGATTGAATGATTGATATCAGGGTTAGAGATTTGTGGGATTTCCGAAACAGTGAACGTGTAACATTGGCTGTAGATAGGAACGAATTCAATGGCTTTACAACTGGATCTTGACAAACAGAAGGCTTTACATTTATCTTCGCTGTCTATATTATTTTGATAGGTACCTCCATAGTATTGAAGTCCATTGTAGCGTTGCCAGGTACAAGTTGACACTATGTAGAATAGTTTTGTTAGTTTATCATTTGATTAGTGTTAGATATTACTGTTGTATTACTCTGTCTTATCTATTGAGTGATTGTCGTTTAAATTAGGCAATGGGTGAGTTATTCAATTTTAAATCGAATTTTGATATGATTTTTACAGTTTTTCGACCAAACAGATGTTAAATTTTACTGAAAATTTGATGATTGAGACAAAAATACTTGGAATGGCGGTAGTAGAAGCTCCATCTGTTAAATAATAATTTCCCACATTTTAGGCGTTTTTACATTTACTAAACTGTATATTTGAATTCAAATTTACCTCAATTGATCATTAATTCTGATATTTTAATCTATCAATAAAATAATATATTTGAAAAAATAATGATAAACGAGTTAAAAATACTAGAAAAGTAATATAATAAAGAAGCTATCTTCTGATAAATACTAGAGAAACAATCAAACAAATAATGAAACGAACAAACATAAAACAACCAAACAACCAAACAAAAAAAAATAAAAAACAATAAAAAACTCTTTAAGAAGTGCAACAACAAAAAACTAACAGCAACTCTTGGTATAGTGAACGATATTGCTACTGTAATAACTCGGAGGTTTAGAATCTTCAGGCCTATTAAAAAGAAAACATTGAGACCCAATATTAGTTGTCACCCATTCAACAGCTTTACAAGAAGCATCAAGGCTACATTTTGTCTGACATTCTGATAAGGATTTTATGTTGTTATCAAGGTATCCACCATATGCAAACTGTCCAGTGTAGGTCGTCCAGGCACATAAGTTTCCTGAGTTGGAGGTGTGTTGTTTGAGTTTTGGAATTTGGTTTGGCTGGTTGTGGGTAGTTTGGGTTGGGGTTATTTAGCTTGCTGCTAGTTAAGATGTTTTTTCAACATTTTGTTGTTTCAGGAATTGAAATAGAATTATGAAACGTATTTAAGTACAAGTTTATATAGTGTGTATAATAAATTGTCAATCAATAACAATCGTAACCTGTCGTTACTGCGAAAAATAAAAATATTAATATTTACGTCATTAACATTTTGATTAGAAATAATAATAATATCTATTATAAAATTTATTTTTTATTTAATCAAAAAAATTTATTAATTTTAATAAAAAATATGAGTAATTATTTGAAAACAGTTAGGAACGAACCTTGTGTCATTTGACCTATTTGAAAAAAGCGTTCATAATGTAATTGTATTATAATAAATATTTTCAATTTTTTTTTATACAAACTTGGAAATAAATTTTTTTAAATTAGAAGTTTTTAGAAATTAGTTTAAGACTTAAAACAATTTTAGATTATATCTATATAAAATATTTAAAACGTTAACTGCAAAAGGATAATTTTCAAAAAAAAAAATAAAAAAACCAAAAATGAAAGTGAAACTGAAACTAACAGTTCCAAACATAATGGGTAATTCCAGGAACCCCATATTGGGTTGGTGCGGCAGCGCTGTTGAAAAACCAACACTGACCTGGCCAAAAAAAAATTCCAGCCCGGTCCAGTATTCATTTTTCCAGTAACATATACATCACACACAGACACGCGCATACACGCACACTTCAATAATGCTCCACACATCTAACTCATAAAAAGTAGTTAACTCACTACACATACACACAACAGACACACACACCACATATACACACACAGCAGACATACACACACACGTACATACGCATACACAAACAGACACATACATACAAATACACGCACACACACACACACATATATAAATATATATACCACTGGTAGTCCATTCAAAAGCCAAACAAGCTGCACTAGGAACACAGCCAGCCTGACAGGCCGATAACGTTGTGAACTGCTGCTGGTATGTACCCCCACCACTCTGCCCCCCGACGTACGGTTGCCAGACACAGGAACCCTGGTTCGTCCCTTGGCCTTCTTTTAGAATATTTTTTTATTCTGTAAATCAAACTCTGCCAAACGCAAGGATGGAAAGTAACAACGCGCAAGGTACGAAACGATGAAAATATAATTATAAATATAGGCTATCACTGTGAGATAATGATGAAATAACATTTATTTCTATCATAAGTAGTAGTTGAGCTAGTAGCAGTAATGTTAAAAGGACTGTCAATCTTAGTGGTTGTACTTACAACAGTACAAGTTCTAATAACTTTTAGTAGTAATAGTGGCAGTAGTAGTAGCAGCAGCAGCAGCAGTAGTAGTAGTAGCAGTAGTAGTAGCAGTAGCAGTGGTAGTAGCTCTATTTACTTTGAAACAAATAAAATTACTAACGAGTATTTATCACCGTAACTCCTGTGAAGGGTAGTAAAAATATATATTGTAGGTATTCATTTCAGTATATTTCATACGATGAAATGATGAGAATGTTTTAACAATTACAATCAACGTCAAATAAATAATTTGAGGCAGTTTTTTTTTTGGGAAATTACATTGAATGCAGGCTTAACATCAAATTCAAACAAATTTTAAACAAAAATCAAATTAGGAAGAACAATTTTAAAAACAATTCATTCACCGACACCCTAAAAATCAGCATCTTAAAACCAGCAATCGACATCTTAAAGCCCCCATCAAAAAAACTTACCAGTCGAGAAAACATAATGGGTGATGCCAGGGGCAGATTTCATAGCTTCATTAGTATTATAAGGTGTGAAGGTCCAGCACTTATACGTTGGGTCATTTGGATTGAAATCGATTGATTGACATCCTGAGACTTGTGTTATGCAGAAGTTTTGGCAGTCGGTTAATGTTTGTTGGGCTAATTGCGGAGTTCCTCCAGCCACATTCATGTCTTTGTAAGAAGTCCATTGAACTGGGGCGAAAGGGTGTGGTGTGGTCGGTGTGGTAGTTTTGCTGGCGTTTGTAGTGTGGGTTGAAAGTTTAGAAAGTTTTTTTTTGCAAAATGTGGCATCGTAAATCGCAGTTTTTTTCACTTACTGCTATGTATTTGTCACTACAAATTATTCATTATTCTATTCATCTCTCAGTGAACAATGAAAAAATAATTGAATGCTCAATCTAAAATAAACCTGAAGACTGAGTTCCGCCAGAACCTTTAAAAAAAATTTCAAATTTTCACTTTCTGGAAACTAGAAAAAGAATTCTTTGTGGAAAAATATAAATGGAATAACGGCGGCAATATTAACATCGGCAACAAATTACATAATCCCAAAATGCAATGCGAACCTGAGCAAACGTAATGATCAACACCAACTGCATTGTAATTGATTGAAATGTCGGCTGTTATGAAGAGATAGCACTGAGTCCCTGGCTGATTTCCTGGAGCAAAATCAACGGCCTGACAACTGCTGTTGTCGAGACAAGCTTTTTTGCAGGCGTCCAAGGAATTTGCCAGTGGAGAGCTTATACCTCCGAACCTCTGACTGTTCTTGTACACGTTCCACGTGCAGACTGTTAAATTACAATCAAGAATTTTATTTTACAACTTCACTTCATTGTTTTCCAGAGGTATCAAGAAAAAAACACGACCAGAGTGTTGTACGTAAATACACGGTAATCAACGCGTCATACACATGCATACGGCTTGCTTGCTAATTTATAGAATTAGGCAAAAACCTTTTGCCTAATTTAGAGAATTAGGTAAAAGGTTTATTGCTTCTACTCACATGTCAATTATTATTTTAATTATTTTATCATACACCCATTGCAACAACAGTGCCAGCCAGCTAAACACTCTCACCAACAAGCCGCCGAAATTGATTTACTACGCTACAATCTTATTATAATTAAATAATATATATTTTAAATTAATCGTACTGTGATGAGAGAGAGAGAGAGAGAAAGAGAAAGATAGAGAGAGAGAAAGAGAAATAATATTAATGCCAAAAATCGCTCTACCTTTATTACAGATTGACCAAGTAATTCCGCTTTTTCCAGAGTTCGTAATGAGATCAGTCGTTTTGTTGAAGAAGAAACATTTAGGAGAGCCGTTTGGGTCGAAGTTGATAGCCACACATGTAGCCGAGGGAGCTGCGTAACAGGCGGCCTTGCACGAGTTGATGTCATTATAATTGTTTTGACCGACTCCGCCAAAGACTAATGTATCAGGTGTGTCTGACCATTGACAGACTGAATGAATAAATTAATGGATGGATGAATGATTGAATGAACGAATGAACAAATGAACGAATCAATGAATCTAAGAATCAATCAATCAGTCAGTCAGTCAGTCAGTCAGTCAGTCAGTCAGTCAGTCAGTCAGTCAGTCAGTCAGTCAGTCAGTCAGTCAGTCAGTCAGTCAGTCAGTCAGTCAGTCAGTCAGTCAGTCAGTCAGTCAGTCAGTCAGTCAGTCAGTCAGTCAGTCAGTCATTCATTCAGTCAGTCAGTCAGTCAGTCAGTCAGTCAGTCAGTCAGTCAGTCAGTCAGTCATTCATTCAGTCAGTCAGTCAGTCAATCAACCAACCAACCTACCAACCAACCAACCATTCAATCAATCAATCAATCAATTAATTAATGAGTGAATGAATTAATTAATGAATTAATAAGTCGGTGAATTAACTTACTCTGGGAAATAACAGTGCTAAGGAGAGAACACAAGACCAATACGGTTCTTAGCATTCTCATTTTTTTAAACGATTCAAAAATTACAGCAACAAACATAAGTTACTATTACATATTTTATTTTTACTTTAACAATAATTGTATAATTTACTTATTCAATTACATTTATTAAACAAAATTATCAAAAATAAATAAATAAACTCTCCTTGATAAATTGCATTCAAAAGCTGTAAACAGCTTTTCATTAAATTAATTTATACTAATATAATCAAATTTTCACGCTCTATTGGTTAAAGGAATCTAACTGTATTATATATATATATATATATAGAGAGAGAGAGAGAGGGAGAGAGAGAGAGACAGAGAGAAAGAGAAAGAGAGAGGGAGAGAGAAAGAGAGGAATATTAAATTTACATATATATATATATATATAGAGAGAGAGAGAGAGAAAGAGAGAGAAAGAAAAAAAAGAGAGAAAGAAAGAGAGGAATATTAAAAGATATTCCTTTAAATAAAAGGCATTAACTACAAGCTTACGACTTATAATACATTTGTTTACCTATGTATTATGGCCTTATCTGTATCTATTAAATTATTGTATATATATATATATATATATAGAGAGAGAGAGAGAGAGAGAAAGAGGAAGATAGAGAGAGAGATTAAAAGTAAGAGAGATTAAAAGTTGAGCGGAGTCAAATTAAATGAATGTTTAATTAGTTAAGTAAACACTTTTTAGGAATTGTATTTCTTACCATGTCACTAATTCATTCATGCAAAAAAGTGAAAATGACATCTGTTTGTCGGAAGGAATGGATAGTAATTTTATTAATTATATTCTATCTTTGCTGTGTCTTTAATAATAAATATATATCTTTGTTTGTTCCTTTAGTATTTTCATCCATCTTTGCTGTTTTTATTATTATGTTAAGCGCTATAGCATCGATTTTTTATAGTTGGAGTAAACGTTCTGACGTATATTAGTTTTATCTTCTGATCTTCTCAACAATGGCGTCAAAGTTTTTTATTGTAAATTTATTATTAAAATCTCCATTGAAATCAACATATATTAAATAATTATGTTATTAATATAATAATTATAATTATTAAATTTTATGTTTTTATTATTACAAATTTTCTTTCAAATTAAAGCAAAATTCTTCAAATGGTTAGTTAACGACGAAAAAAGTGTTGTACTGCATATAAGTTTATATCACCATCATCATCATCTTCATTAACATCATAATCACCATAATTGATGTTATTATGTATATGTATGTATGTATGCATATTATATGTTTATATGTGTAATAATTCATATACTAAGGTATATATATTATATATTTGTGTGTATCGTGTATCTTTGCTTTGTTTGTGTGTGTGTGTGTGTGTGTGTGTGTCTCTTAGTAATAAAATTAATTAATTAATTATAAAAGTGTCTATTAAATATTAATGAACGGCAAAAGAAAAATTATAACGTTTAATTATTAATAACACATAAAAAAATAAATTTATTAAAATATAAAATGGTTATTACCGTCCTCATCATCAACGTCGTCGTCAACATCGCCATTATCATCATCTAACTAACTCATAACTATTATTATCATTATTATATCATTACAGCTCTTAGAACTATTAGATTTTTAATCATGATATCTATCTATCTATTTGTCTGTCTGTCAATCTATCTAACTGTCTGTTTATATATATATATATTTATGTATAAATATATATATATATATATATATATATCGCGCTGATAATCATTACAGTCTCTTTCCATATTTCCGTCATCCTAATAACATCACCACCGAAATCGGCATCTTCATCATCTACACCGTCACCATCATAGTCATCATCCAAACATTCATCATTGTTTCTAACAATAATAATGATCAACACCATTAGCATTATTTACCACGATATTATTCGTAGAAATAAAGCAGTTACGTCCGAGGCCACTAGTCCTGTCGAAATCAAAACCAAACTGGCAACTCTCTCTCAAGCAGGCAATCCTGCAATCATTGACTGTAGATGCCTCGGGAACCTGCTTGCCACCGAACGTTTTGCTGTTCGTAGCTATGTTGTTGTTGGCACAAACTGTTTTTTTCCAGGAAGGTTAAAGGTTAAAAGAGGTTAAAAAAAGGGAAAAAGTTGTTATGTGTAAGTTTTAAAAAAGTATTATTATTAACGACTCTACAGAGTGAGTCCTGAAGTACGAAAATTAACAGACGCGTCTGCAGAAGCTTATTAATTTGATGATATCCAACCATCGTCAGGTTGCTAAAAGTCATCAGCGTATTCAAAATGCTGCTGCAAAAGATTGGTCATCAAGATGAATAAATAAAATCACGTAACTGGGGTCAAAAAATCTAGGAGGGAGTTTTAAAAATTGCCATTGGTTGCTGGACCAAGATAAAAATAGTTACAAGATGGCGGCTGTGTCGCATTGGAGGTGGTTGTGATGGTTTAACAGATTTTTTGAAAAAGGTTTTTTGTGGGAAGTCAAAGGTCATAGGTCAACATGGGTCATGGATTAACCTCTCTATAGAACCAGGTGGCTAGAAGGTTGATGCTATGTCAAATTTTCCTAAAGTTTATGGACAAGTTGATGACGTATCTATAGGTACACATTGGTTCAGCAAAGCATTTAAAGTCATTACTCATTTTTCAGAGGTATATAAATGAGTGAATATTAATAACAATAATAATAATAATTAATAATAAAAATAATAATAGTAATAATAATAATTATTATTATTTTTATTATTATTGTTGTTGTTATTATCAATTTCACAAAATTAAAAATTCTAACCGGGGATTGAGACGAAATCTATGAACGAATTAGTAGAGAGTTGAAGAGGTTCATTTAAATTTTTAAAAATAATAAATTAAAAAATAAATAAATAATTGAACTCATTAATAAATTAATTATTTATCTAATAATTAAATTAATTAACTAATTGGTTAATATAACAGTTAATTTAAAACCAAATAAACGAGTGAGTTTACTTGTGCTAGCGTAAGTAACCGTAGGTTGAGCTATAATAAATAAAAATAAATAATAAGAAAATAATAATAATTAATAAGAAAAAAGAAGTTGTTTATTAAATCGTTTAAAAAAAATTGAATAAAAATAAAATAAAAAATTTATTCTGAAAATTGCTGATAAATGTTTTACAATAAAAAAAATATTTGAGACCTCATTCAATTTCCCTATTGTTCAATTTTACACCATTATAAAAACAACTGCTACTAATTCTACTACCACTACTACTACTGTTGCTACTACCACTACTACTACTTCTGCTACTACTGCAGCTGCCACCACTACTGCCACTAGTGCTAAACAACAACAATTATAATGACATTTGCTAACAATTGCAGAAACAAAACAACAAAACGATTACATATACCACAATTAAAAAACGATGAATAAAACTAAACTTTAAAAACTACTACTTACTAGACCCTCCACACTTGTAGATGTAATGGTCAATGTCGGCAACATTCATCTGAGTTGGCGGGTCAGAAGTTGTAAACCAGTAACACGTGTTCGAATTTCGGTTGAAATCAATGGCTTTGCAATTTTGGGTGCTGGTACAAGCAGCTTTGCACTGATCCACAGTCACGGCGTTTTGTACTTGGACACCGTTGAACCTTTGGGAATTATTGTAGGCCGTCCAGGAGCAGTCTCCTGGCGGTGAAAAGTTTGAAAATTTTTTATTGTATTTATATCTCTTGAATTATTTTTGGATTTATTTTTTTTGTTTTTATTCCCATTGCGATTATTTTAACGCTCAAATAATTCGTTAATAAGATAGTTCACGCCAGGTCTTAGGCATACAATACAATCAGCAAATGGAAATATTTACGCCAGCAAATTCATCGCTATATATACAATCTTATCCACTATTTCATCATCAGAACAATGTGAAAATAACAAAGGAACGCTACTTGGTGCACAGATATAATGGTCGACTCCACTGACGCCAGTGGTTGTAGGCAATGAAGTAGTGTTAAACAAGAAACATCTGACATCTGAGACACTTCCAGTCCATTCAATAGCGACGCACGGTCTGTTGTTTCTGCAGTAGGTCTGGCATGCTTGAAGGGAGTTGATGTTAGGCACTCCGTAACCACCGAATGCCTGGTAGCCTGGATAGGCCAACCAAGTACAATCACTGCCTGAGTGTGTTTTGGTTGTTTGTTGATGTGGTTATCGTTCCCGTTGTTGTTGTTGCTTTTCCTCGTTATATATTTCATTATCTTTGTCAAAGTTTTACAAATGACTTAGTTATTTTCAGTGAAAAATTGTTAATTTTATAAATAGAGATTTGTAATAATGTTAAATAATATTCTCTAACTTGGCGGTGGCGTAGTGCCGGCTGATTTAAAATAAAATAAAGAGTTTTCCAATAATTAAAAATAAAATCAATTAAAGTATTACAAAAAATTAAAAACAATATAAATAGAAATTAAGCAATTAAGCAACTTTACAAAACTTCAGCTGGAAAATTTAAAACTTTAGAAGAGGAAAACAAAAAACATATACAAATATGATGAAACGAGACAAACTAAACCTGTGCAAATATAATGGTCGATCCCCGATACATAATTAGTTGGGATAGTGGAGATGGTAAAAGTGAAACATTGGTTGTTAACATTGTTGATTTTCGCCCATTCATATGCCACGCAACCGGCTAGTTCGGCGCATTTGGATTGACAGCCTAACTGCGAAGTGATCGCCGATTGAAGGGTGCCGCCACTCATTTGTTTGTCGGTGTAGAGAGTCCAAGTGCAACCTTTTTATTTGGTATGTTGTGGTCTTTGTTTCAAAGTTTGTGGTGAGTTGTAGTTTTGTATTTTAGAAGTTTTATTACATGATATTTGTTTAATGTTTTGTATTTTAATTGAACAATCAATCAATTGGTTTGTAAAACGCTGATTCAAATTCAAAAGCCAATTTAAAAACTTTATTCAGAGAGTAAAGTATATAATCTGGAAAACCATACTAAAGCAAGTAACTAAAATCAATACTAGATAAACTAATTAACTAACAAGAATGAAAAGAATAGTATCGTCAAGAGAAGGCAAAAGTTTTTCATTCCTTGTTTATTTTAGGATACGTATTTAAAGAAATTTTGTTTTGTTATTAGTTGTATTCAAGAAATCATATTTTAGTTAAGGTAGCATAAGATTTGCGTTTAGTTAGTAGTTGTCTTCAAGGAATCATATTTTAGTTATGGTTGCATAAAATTATCAGTTGTCCTTTGAGATTTTGTGCTTTAACTTTTTTTTATTTTTTTTAATATTTGAAGTTTTTGGAAAAATAAATTATTTTAAAAATAATCTTTCATACCTGAAATGGGTGTGGTACTTTGAGCAGCTGAAAAACAATAAAAATTAAGTTACTATAAAACCACAACATTTGAAAATGACAAATTTGTTGTAAAGTGAACGATTTAAAACCTGCAAAAACATCGGATAAATAAATAAGATAAATTAGTCATTAACTGAACGAAACAACAATTGAGTTTAAAATTTTTTAAACACAAAACGTAAAAATACATATAAATGAAAACATGATAAAACGAGACAAACTAAACCTGTGCAAATATAATGGTCGATCCCCGATACATAATTAGTTGGGATAGTGGAGATGGTAAAAGTGAAACATTGGTTGTTAACATTGTTGATTTTCGCCCATTCATATGCCACGCAACCGGCTAGTTCGGCGCATTTGGATTGACAGCCTAACTGCGAAGTGATCGCCGATTGAAGGGTGCCGCCACTCATTTGTTTGTCGGTGTAGAGTGTCCAGGTGCAACCTTTTTGTTTGGTATGTTGTGGTCTTTGTTTCAAAGTTTGTGGTGAGTTGTAGTTTTGTATTTTAGAAGTTTTATTTCATGATATTTGTTTTATGTTTCGTATTTTAATTGAACAATCAATCAATCAATTGGTTTGTAAAACGCTGATTCAAATTCAAAAGCCAATTTAAAAACTTTATTCAGAGAGTAAAGTATATAATCTGGAAAACCATACTAAAGCAAATAACTAAAATCAATACTAGATAAACTAATTAACTAACAAGAATGAAAAGAATAGTATCGTCAAGAGAAGGCAAAAGTTTTTCATTCCTTGTTTATTTTAGGATACGTATTTAAAGAAATTTTGTTTTTGTTATTAGTTGTATTCAAGAAATCATATTTTAGTTAAGGTAGCATAAGATTTGCGTTTAGTTAGTAGTTGTCTTCAAGGAATCATATTTTAGTTATGGTTGCATAAAATTATCAGTTGTCCTTTGAGATTTTGTGCTTTAACTTTTTTTTATTTTTTTTAATATTTGAAGTTTTTGGAAAAATAAATTATTTTAAAAATAATCTTTCATACCTGAAATGGGTGTGGTACTTTGAGCAGCTGAAAAACAATAAAAATTAAGTTACTATAAAACCACAACATTTGAAAATGACAAATTTGTTGTAAAGTGAACGATTTAAAACCTGCAAAAACATCGGATAAATAAATAAGATAAATTAGTCATTAACTGAACGAAACAACAATTGAGTTTAAAATTTTTTAAACACAAAACGTAAAAATACATATAAATGAAAACATGATAAAACGAGACAAACTAAACCTGTGCAAATATAATGGTCGATCCCCGATACATAATTAGTTGGGATAGTGGAGATGGTAAAAGTGAAACATTGGTTGTTAACATTGTTGATTTTCGCCCATTCATATGCCACGCAACCGGCTAGTTCGGCGCATTTGGATTGACAGCCTAACTGCGAAGTGATCGCCGATTGAAGGGTGCCGCCACTCATTTGTTTGTCGGTGTAGAGTGTCCAGGTGCAACCTTTTTGTTTGGTATGTTGTGGTCTTTGTTTCAAAGTTTGTGGTGAGTTGTAGTTTTGTATTTTAGAAGTTTTATTTCATGATATTTGTTTAATGTTTCGTATTTTAATTGAACAATCAATCAATCAATTGGTTTGTAAAACGCTGATTCAAATTCAAAAGCCAATTTAAAAACTTTATTCAGAGAGTAAAGTATATAATCTGGAAAACCATACTAAAGCAAGTAACTAAAATCAATACTAGATAAACTAATTAACTAACAAGAATGAGAAGAATAGTATCGTCAAGAGAAGGCAAAAGTTTTTCATTCCTTGTTTATTTTAGGATACGTATTTAAGGAAGTTTTGTTTTTTTCAAGGAATCATATTTTAGTTATGGTTGCATAAGATTTGCATTTGTGCTTTGAGATTTTGTGCTATAACTTATTTTATTTTAATATTTAAGGCTTGAGAAAAATAATTTATTTTAAAAATAATTTATCATACCTGGAAAGGGTGTGGTACTTTGAGCCCCTAAAAAACCATAAAAAATAAGTTAATATAAAACAACTACGTTTGAAAATGAAAAATTTGTTGTAAAATGAACGATTAAAAACATGCAAAAGCATCAGTTAGGTAAATTAGTCATCAACTTAACGAGACATCAATTGAGTTTAAAATTTTATAAACACAAAACTTAAAACCACATAAAAATACATGATCAAACGAGACGAACTAAACCTGTGCAAATATAATGGTCGATCCCCGGTACATAATTAGTTGGGATAGTGGAGATGGTAAAAGTGAAACATTGGTTGTTAACATTGTTGATTTTCGCCCATTCATATGCCACGCAACCGGCTAGTTCGGCGCATTTGGATTGACAGCCTAACTGCGAAGTGATCGCCGATTGAAGGGTGCCGCCACTCATTTGTTTGTCGGTGTAGAGTGTCCAAGTGCAACCTTTTTATTTGGTATGTTGTGGTCTTTGTTTCAAAGGTTGTGGTGAGTTGTAGTTTTGTACTTTAGAATTTTGTATTTTGTATTAATATTTTTCTGATAAAACGCTCATTCAATTTCAAAAGCCAATTTAAAAACTTTATTCAGAATGTAAAGTGTATAATCTGGAGTAACTAAAATCAATACTGATAAAGTAATGAATTAACAAGAATGAGAAGAGTAGTATCGTCAAGAGAAGTCAAAAGTTTTTTATTCCTTGTTTATTTTAGGATACGTATTTAAGGAAGTTTTGTTTTTTTCAAGGAATCATATTTTAGTTATGGTTGCATAGGATTTGCTTTTGTGCCTTGAGATGTTGTGTTTTTACTTTTTTTATTTATTATTTAAAGTCTTGGTTCTATTTAAATTTAATGATCTCAATAAAAAAATGAGTAAATTTTTTTTTTGAAAAACAGTAACACTTAACTTACAAAAGATTTCATATTTAACTGCATTCATCTTATTGCGATGTAATTTTTTGCAAAAAATATAAAAATAAATTTATAAAACTAACAACGACAATCAAAGTAGTAATGATAATAATAATAATCATAATAATAATAATAATCGCTCCCACCCAACTGAGTTACAAACGGACCAAGTAATTCCGGTTTTTCCAGACTGAGTAGTAGGATTACTATTCACTAAAAAGTAGCAGGGAGGAAGAGCCAAAGGGTCAAACACAATTCCTTTGCAAGTGGCAGTTGAGGCCAGGCAGCTGGCTTCACAGGAGTCTATAGTGTTGATACCTGGCTGCGGACTGCCTCCGTATGCTATGGTGTTTGGGGTGCGGCTACATCCTGTTATTTTTTCGGATGGTGATGTGAAATTTCGTTAATTTTTTGAATGTTGGTTGGTACGCTATTTCATTAGCCGTCGTGTATGTCGCAATTAGTTTTGGGTATGCCTAACATTTATTTATTTTAATGTGCCTTTTTAGATGAACAAATTTCATTTATTGAATTTTAACAGAAACTCAACTCAAATTGAATAAATTAAACGACAACGAAATTACATCGGTGGAAAATATGTAAATCATCGGATAACAAGATGTTTTAACATATCTATAACAACACTTCCAAGCACTTTGACAATCCCTTCATCAATGAAAGTTGACAGCACTAAAAATTGTTTAACACACTGGAAACTCACCTTGGGAATGCACGGACTTTGAAAGGCAGGCAAAGAGGACAAAAATAAAAATTCGCACCATCCTGCTAACTGGCAGCGTTCGATAAACAGACAAACGAACGGGAATCAGTCGTCGGAGAGTATTAAATTAATACTTCTTGAATGCTAGAACGCAAATGAATAATAATAATAATGTTAACAACAGTCCTAGCAATGACACCCAAAACAATTTAATAACATTTTAAGCCACTTATTGTTTCTCTTATAAAAAAAAGTATGTAAAATATATGGATAGAACAACCGCGTAACAAACAGACAAACATACAAACATAATAACAACAATAATAACATCAGCTTGTTATTACAAAGGGTGAAGTATTAAGGATAGTAAAATGTTAACGCTCCAGTGCACATAGCTCTCTACGTTAATTCCAATTAGGGGCTTTTGAATGTATGTGTGTATATGTGTATATGTGTATGTATGTGTGTATATATGTTAATGTATTTCTCTGCGTCTGTGTTCGTCTGTGTGTGTGTGTGTGTGTGTGTGTGTGTGTGTGTGTGTGTGTGTGTGATCGAACAATGCAAAGTTCGAAGTTATTATTAAAGACATTTGTTGAAATGGTTTATTCATTCATTCGCTCGTTTGTTCATTCAATTATTCATTCATTTACATGTACATTCAAACATTCATCTATCTATCCATCCATCCATCCATTCATTCGTTCGTTCATTCATACTACAAAAAAGACCCCGTAGCGTTATTTTCAGTCGCATTAGAGAGCAATAAAAATTGTTTCTTCAATTGCAATAAAAATATAACAATAATAATAATAATAATAATAATTATTATTATTATTATTATAACAACAACAATAATAATAATAAACTACACCAACAACAATAACAACAACAACAACGATAATGATAATAATAACGATAATAATAGTGATACTGCTAACAATAACCGCATGTTTTAAGTGTGTTATCAAATTTGGAATAGTAGGTTATGTGGGCTCTTTAACAAACCAGCATGACATAAACATATAAACTTGTACATAAAACGAAAATAATAATAATAAAAATGATAATAATAATAATATTAATAATAATATAATATTGATAATGGTAATAATAATATAATAATAATGATAATGGTAATAGTGATAATGATGCTTAATACCCTTCAATATGCTCGGTTTTAGTAACCTTTCTGTAGCTATTTATAGCATTTTGTGACGTTTATTATTATTATTATTATTGTTTATTATTATTGTTGTTGTTGTTATCGTTATTATTGTCGTTGTTGTTGTTGTTTTTTATTGATGTTTCTTCATAAAAATTTGATTAATTCCTATGTAGGCCCATTGAAATTGAGTAATAAAATTTGAATTTTTATTTTGAATAATAATAATAATATTAATAATACTACTACTACTAATAATAATTATACTAATATTAATAATGATAATAATAATAAATTGTGCAGGTGATGTGTGTAGAATACTTTTTCTCATGTTTTAAAGCAACAAGTTCTAGCTCACATTTCGAATATTATTTTAATAATTTTGCTTATTAATATTTCAACTAATGTTGGGTTATTCTTTACTGACTCCTATCTATATTAGAAGTGGAAAGATAACAAATCTGGTGTGAGCTGTCAATTAGGCCTACTAAAGCCGTTTTTTCAGCGAAGAAACATGTCAAAAATTTATGAAAAATTTTCATTTTTTAGGTTTTTTAAATAAAAAAGCCAAAAAACATGATTTTTTTTTTCATTTTTATTAATTTTCTTCTTGTTTTTCAAAACAAATATCCCCGTAGCGTTTATCACATCTGAAATAATGTGTGTGTGTGCGTGTGTGTGCTCGCGTGTGTCTGTCTGTGTGTGTGTGTGTGAGTTTTATAAATTGATACGTTTGTTATAGCTACTCGTTCCACTAAGTATTAGTTAGTGTTATTTCGAATGCGACGGTAGAGTATAGATACATTAGGACATAACGCTGGGTGTGGGTGTGTGTGTGTATGTGTGTCTGTGAGTGGTGTGAGTGTCTGTGTGTGTGTGTGTGTGTGTGTGTGTGTGTTTGTACGTCAGAAATCTTCAAAAGTGAATCAAATAAAACCACGCATTATAATAAAAATGAAAATAAAACTCGCTCTAGGTTAATAATTGGAGAGAGAGAGAAAAAACTTGAAAAAATATAGTCTGGTGCAAATTTTGTTACAAAGAATGACAGGAAAGTTACGAGTTGTTACAAAAGTAGTGGTCTACACCATTGATGTTTCCATTATTCAGCAGGTTACTTTTTGAAACGTAACAGCGCGAGCCAAAATTTGCCACGTTGTTAAAATCAAACCCAAGCTTGCAGTTGTCAATCTTTAGGCATACATTTCTACATTCTTCGACCGTGTTAGCCTCTGGGTGTAGGATTCCACCAATGGTATTGCTGTTTTTCATCACTGTGTTGTTTCTGCAAGCTAATTGGTTGGTTGATTGATTGGATGGATGAATGGATGGACGGATGAATGGAGGGATGAATGAATGAATGAATGGCTGGACGGATGAATGGATGGATAAATGAATGGATGAATGGACGGATGGATGGATTGTTAGTTGGTTGGTTGGTTAGTTAGGTGCGTTTTGGTTGAATTGTTGGTTGGTTGAATAATTGATATATTTGTATGTTTTAACTGTGTTTTAATGTTTTATAATGTTTTAAAAACTTATTTCCAGATGTTTTCGCACTGAATTTATAAAAAAATTTCACAAGATGCGAATATAAACGCCAGATACCTGGAATGTAGGAACCTAAATGGAAATAAAAAATGAACGCAAATAAAAAATTAAATTATCGATGGATGGAGGAAAAGTAAAAGTAAAAGAAAATGAATTATCGATGGATGAATAAAAAATTATAATTATAATAATATTTTTATAAATAAGTTTCTTTAAATGAATTATTATGCA